TTATTTTTTAAAAATATGATTCCTTCGCTACTTAAGATTTCTCGTGTTTCAAAAACGAGAGCCGAAAACCTCAATATAATTATTAAAATTAAATTGAGTTAAAGTATCAAGCCCTGTTTCATCCTCAAGCGAAAATTTAGGAATAACCAATCTTGAAATTTACGCATCTTTATAAGCATGTTCATTTGCAAAATTAATTACCATGGAAACGGCTGGGGTGACTAAGAGTTCATTTTTATTCACATACCAGTCACCTTCGGAAAGAGGTCAATCCAAGGTAGGGTCGGGGTATCCATTTCCAAGCGAATGATGGCATTCATGTGCGCGCATCGTCTGGTCAGTCACAGCGAAAGATTGCTTTTGGCACCATAATATGTCGTTAAGTGGCTAGAGCATTTTATTTTATTTTATTCATTTATTTTTTTATCCTTCTATTTTTTATTTATTTAATTTTTCTCTAACGGGCTGTTAAAGAACTCCGGATTTTTTACATAACGTGTTCTTTCCTATATTTTTACATATCTGCACACACACACACACACACACACACACACACACACACACACACACACACACATATATATATATATATATATATATATATATATTACACGACAAGGGCCACAGAGTCAACACGCAGACCTACATCAGTGCCTTGTGGATGTAGTGCCATCCTGGGTCAAGAAGGTGGCTGTTGGAAGCCCCTATAGCTGGCAACAAAATTCTGCATAATGCCACACTAGCAGAAGAACCAAGTCATGGCTGTCAGAAAATTCCTGCGACCCTATCACCCCTTACATGTGGACACCTAACCGCTCAGACTACAACTTCCTTGATTATTATGTGTGGGGCACAGTTGAACGAGAGACCGAGAAAACTTGTAACGCCAAAGATGAGCTGAAGGCTAGGATTATGGTAAGATTCACCAACTTAAACAAGGAGACCGCTCAGAGGAGTTGCAGGAGATTTTGAAGTCGTCTGGAGGCCGGGGTTGAAGCTAATAGCGATTTTATTGGATAAATTTACTCTATTATTTCAAGATATGTTTGCATAAATTTGGTAAATATATCTGTTAAAATGAGATGCCAGTATTATTTTCATTTTTGCGCAAATTTAGATGACAATTCCTCTATCGCATCCTATACATTATTGACATTTGGAAAAACGTTCATGAAAGTATGTTTCGAAAAAAACATTCGACTATGGATTTCGCCTGTTTTTAGCTTCATCAGATCGAAGACGAATTAATGTGATGCGTGTGTATGCATTTGTGTGTGTGTTTTAAAATACTATATTTTTGCCAAGATGGCGTTGCTCGTGATTAAAAAGAGGAAGAAAATAAGTGACTTCAGAATGGGTAGAAAATAAATGAAAGATTTGATTAAATGGAAGAATTTTCATAACTCTGTCAGCATTATATACCCAAATTTCTAACATATATATATATATGTGTGTGTATGTTTAAAATGGTATATAGAAATCCCGACAGACCTTTAAGAGATTTGACAAATGGAAACCGTTTCATTGAAACTAGATTACGCGTTTCACCTTTCTAGGCGTCATCAGGTCCAAAAACGGAAGAAAGAAGCGTTTGTATGTGTATTTGTGTGAATGTCTAAATAATCAATCGACAGCTTTGTCAAAAAAAAAAGTACTATCATACATTATTTAAGCATAAGCACAATTACACATACTCATTTTATAATATATATATATATATATATATATATATATATATATATATATATATATATATATATATAATAATAATCTCTCCGTCGCGTTCGACGTATGAGGGTCAGGCCGACAAGTCCCAAGGAAACCGACACCCCGACATCGGCACATGAGGTTTGATTATAGTGGTGAAGGCCTCGTGCAGGACCAGCCACAATTTTGGAGGGACGAATACAGAAACCTGGTGCACCGAATGCCACAAGGTTCCCAAACGACCGTTCGCAGGTTTTGAATTCAGAGTTGTCCTTCTCCTAGACCAGTTGCCATCCAAGGCTATAGAACCCAGTCTGTCCTGCTATTTTACCCATAGCTGGAGGGAGATGGAATTCCAGTCGAATCCATTACATTCACTTACGTGCTAATACCCTTGGGAAAGGTATGAATCCTCTTCATATATATATATATATATATATATATATATATATATATATATATATATATATATATGACCAACGCCTTTATCCACTGTGCCATGTGTCCGACCAAGCATAGAAATAAATACAATATGGGAACCAGTAATAAGGAGTGCCAGAGAAAAACAATGATAACAACAAAGTTGCAATATGAGCTCTGGTAAAAATGGTTGATGAAGACATTAGGTTTATAATACCCAGAAATTCATACCCAGATGTCCTCAAGGATAAAATGGATAAAGGCGTTGGTTACATCCAGTGACAGGACCCAAAGTGTGTGAGTTCGATACCCGGTTAAAGCAGTGGAGAACTTTCAGACATGATAACTGATAACTGACGTCCATTAAACATGGCACGTAGAACAGTCTACCCCAGTGAGCGAAATAAAGGGTTCAGTTCGAAATTCCAGCCAACGGCCGAAACGTTGTGATAAATATGGCGACAAAGATGAGGACAACAGCCCAAATAATGTACATAATACCTCATCTCAAAAATATAGACAGACATATATATATATATATATATATATATATATATATATATATATATATATATATATATCGAGAGACACACACAGAGAGAGAGAGAGAGAGAGAGTTGCGTCTCTCAAAATAGATTCTGTTATATCGATAAGCGATATATAAAATCAGTTACGGTTGATTTTTTCTTTTATTCAAGGCGTGGGAGTATAAACTTTTACAATCTTTCTGAAAAGCTAAATATGAAAGCGGTTAAAGTAAAAGTTTTTTTCTGAAAACCCAAACTATTTTACTTTTAATGATTCTCTGTAAACACACCTATATCATAAATATTACATATGAATACATATAGACATTAGTTTTTTTCAAATCTTATTTCTCTCTCTCACACTCTCTCTCTCGTTCTCTCTCTCTCTCTCTCTCTCTCTCTATATATATATATATATATATATATATATATATATATATATTCTTCCATTTAATCAAATCTTTCATTTATTTTCTACCCATTCTGAAGTCACTCATTTTCTTCCTCTTTTTAATCACGAGCAACGCCATCTTGGCAAAAATATAGTATTTTAAAACACACACACAAATGCATACACACGCATCACATTAATTCGTTTTCGATCTGATAAAGCTAAAAACAGGCGAAATCCATAGTCGAATGTTTTTTCGAAACATACTTTCATGAACGTTTTTCCAAATGTATATATGTAATATATATAATATTATAAATTAATTGATTTAAAAAATGGTTTTTTTTCGCTACACAGTTCTAACCATGTTTCAAAAGTGGAAGCTAAAAGCCACGAATTTAATTTTGTGATTAAATTAAAGACATTAGTTCCATTTCATCCTCAAGCGAATTTTGGAGTAATTAATGCTCTGTAAATTTACATTGAGCACTATTTTGTAAAAATAAAAATATCTATAAGAACACCGGATTATATATCTTGCTGTTCTTTCTTTTATATATATATATATATATATATATATATATATATATATATATATATATATATATATAAGTGTGGGTATAAACTAAATAACTGGATATGCGTGTGATTGCGTGCATACACAGGCAAACAAATAAGTATTTATTTAATTTATTTTATAAACAAAAACAGTGCTCAATTTAGTTAAACAGAGCTATAATGTATATTAATAAAATATACATATACCTACGTGCTTATCGTGCAACTTAGAGGTTCATGGTTCTCGAACTCGTCAGGTACAAATAGTAAATAAACCACTTAATACAGTTGTATTAAGTAGTTGTCAGAAAACCCACACAGAGAATTTGATTATAGTGGTGAAGACGTGTGCAGAACCATGCACACTTTTTGCGACCACTGATAGCAAGGAATCGGTGCAAAAGATGGCCACGGAAACAGTGAACAACAGACCTCAGATTTTATTAGTCTCGGATTTGAACCTCTCCGGAACAATCAACAACACAATATACTGCCTTTGGACGGATTATGCTGAAGGCAGCAAGGTTTTGATGCCGTAAGTTTTCCTTCCCAACTATTGAGGGAAGGTGGCTAGGGAGCACCCGTGATTCTCTTGCTCAGGTCTTTTCAGAAACTACACCCATACATACATACATGGATATCTATCTATCTATCTATCTATCTATCTATCTATCTATCTTGCTTTCTATATATGGACATATATGTTTTCACAACATCGCCCACGTGACGACGACGCTGATCTTATATAAAAATTTCAGTTATCTGTTTGGATTAGTTGTGCTCTTATGTCCATCGTCTTTTCGTGTTGAATTTTTATATGTTCTAATGTTAATTATGTTTAAATGAAAATGTCCTGAAGATGGTCTAAAATAGACCGAAACGTCCGACGTTGACTTTATATTAACATTAATACAGCATAATTGCATATTAAGATTTTTGTTTGTTTTTTCTGTATATTTTCTTCATACTGTCGGATCTATATCCATATATTTGCTTACATATATATATATATATATATATATATATGACGGACTCTCTCATCAGTTCGATATATAAGGCTCTGACGACCAGGAACTAATTATCTGCATGCCTATGACGGGCATGACTTTTGAGACCGGCTCGAGAATTGCACAAAAGACCACAAACAGTACAGGACAATGTACTGTACCCAAGTGCAGCAGGAACACTGTTAGATGTCTTATTTTGCTTTCTTGTTTCATGTAGTCGACTGATGGTTACTTCTCAGTGTAGCTATATCAATATTGTACTTATTTAGCTCCAATGCAACCAGAGCTGTTTTTCTTTCTGGTGCTGAGTTGATGTCCTGGAGAGTTCGAACATTCAAATTGTCAAGATGAAGTTGATGTTTTTTCGTAGAGTTTTTCGTAGTAGCCGGA